AATGACAGTGCAGCTGGGGATTTCAGGCTGAAGCCATTCTTAGTGTATAACTCTGACAACCCATGAAAAATATTGAGGTTATTCTCAGTAATGTAGTGTGCCAACAAGAAAGCATGGGTAACTAAGGCAATGTATACCAGGTGATTAAAGTCTTATGTTTTCCCTGCTGTTGAAAAATACTGTGTTGACAAATACTTAGCTCATAAAGCATTACCGCTCATAGACAATGCAGCAACAATGCATCCAGTGACATTAGCACATGCTTTCAAGCATGTCAAGCTTCGACTTCTTCAGAACACTACAGCTTTAATTCTGTCGGTGTGTTATCAACTCTTTCAAATCAACTTATGTAAAGAAAACTTTCACAAAACCTGTTGCTAGAAAGAATAAGCCAAAAATTAAGGAATTTGGGAAGATTTTTAATATCCTGAATGCCATCATCATCATTGATGACACTAGGAAGGAATTGACAGTCACTCCAATGAACAATGTATGGAAGAGATTATGGCCCTAACTCCCTCACTCTATCCCTACCTCCTCTAATACCTTCATGGAACCCATCTTTGGTAAGTACAGTATGTGTTTTCTGGAATTTCAGTGTTCATTTATAATGTTATGGCCTTGTAAAATGAAACTATAACACTACTATGCCTCTAGTAACAATGAGCCCATCTCTTGTGATCATTGTAGATTTCTTTTTAAATTTGTCATTGAAAAATAAAAGGATTTGGATACAGAAAATTATCATCTCAGTCTGCATTTCGAATTATAACACAAGCTCTTGTATTATAATTCCCTGACTAGTTGTAGTTCCAGGGTTGAGTCTCAGGTCCTTCACTTCTTAACAGCAGACAACCAGCTTACTACCTCATGGGACATGTCATATCTATCCTTAAATATGTGTAATGTGTTTGCTTCCGCTAGTATTTCTTGTATGTGTATAGAACTTATCCTGTTTCCTCATCACTGTGAAGCTGAAGAAGTATTTCCTAATATACTAGTGACTAATTTTCATTTTTAACTTCCATTTATGGCCTCTTGTCCCCAATCCTCACCTTACAGTGTCCTGCCAATTCTTCTGAGTATCTAATGCACTATGTTTTTCTTTGTCCTTTCATGTACGATCATCAGGTTCAGTCTTTTAGTTTCATAGGTGAGCCCTGTTAGCTCCATGACCAAGTCATATTGTGAATCTCTGGATTTTCTCTATTTTTTACATACTTCATCAGTTGTAGGTGCCAAGCAAATGCATTCTTTATGTTAGGTCAGATATATGTCATAAATAGTCTTAAATTATTTTAAAGGTTCCTGAAAGCTGTTTCTATAGGAGCACATACCCTTCAAAGGGGTGTCGTAATCCTGGCAATGGGTTCTTGATCCAAGGAATTGGAACTACCCTTGCCTTCCTTGGAACAAACTGGCTTACCTCATTTCTAAGGTGCTGTATGATTCTATATAGGGTTTAGTGCTTTCCCATAAATATAATAATAAAAATACAGACCCACATCAGGAGGCTGTGGGTCATTTGGTATCACCTTTAACTCACAGCTGAAGGACCTGGGTTTAATTCCAGCACAAGTGGAAATGGTAGGCATATTTCCTTACATCTGTTGCTCTTTTCCACGTAGTTGAGTGGAACTGTTGTATGTCGCCCCTCAAGGAAGGTGCTTTGATGCTAGTGAAATGCTCTTGATCCAAATGATTGGATCCATACTCCCTCCTCCTTAGGTTGAACCTCGTTGCCTCTAATTCCCCCAGACGCTGTATGATCCTCTGTGGGTTTAGTGCTGAAAGACTGCAAATCACCCAGAACAAAATAGCAAGGTTCATCCTGGACCTGGGTCCAAGAGAACATGTAGGTCAGGATGAATTACAACAATTGGATATGCTGAATGTTGAAGACAGAATAATACAACTCAAGTTATATCAAGTTTATAAAATTGCTCACAGTGTCCAGAATATCTTGCTGCTAATTTTGTCAAGGCTGGGAACCAAAGCAATCATAGTACTAGGGGGAGAGAGCACAACTTTGTAGTACCCACAGTCAGTGGCCAGGCTTCAAACACCTTTTATTGTACAGCAATAAAGGAGTGGAACAGGCTGCCTGCACATGTCAAAGCCAGTTATAGCATGAACCGGTTCAAGAAGAGAGCTAAAAGGTGCCTATTGAATGTAGGGACAGAAAGGGAGGAGCATGATTTTTTATTTTTTTTTAGCTAGTAACTCATTTTACCTTATTCCTAGTATATCTCCTTTACCGTACAGTCTCTCTTCACTTAACGACGAAGTTCCATTCCTTATGCCACGTCGGTAAACGAATTCGTCGCCAAGTGAGGAGCATACTATAATGGTAGTGGGTTTGTGTCAGCCATCTTTGATAATGTTTCAGTGTCACCTTTGCACCACTAAGTGAGGAGAGGCTGTGTAATAATAAGATATTATCTCCTTGCTAGTACAATAATAAGGTGGTTAAAGGACCCCAATGGAAATAAGTCACTCTGACTTTTTTGAGTTATCCAAAGTTCTCTACACATATGCTGCTATGTATGATAATCTATGTAACTGTATTTGTGTATACCTAATAAACTTACTTATTATATGGGGTGGCACTTTACTTAGAGTTAGGAGGGTGGAAGAGATTTGTCCTGACTTTTCTTAAGAGTACCCTGATATCCATATAATATTATGTTTATAAAATATCAGTACATATAACGAAGATTTATTATTCTAGATAAAAGTGGTTAGTGCGTCGGTCTGGAGTTTTATGACTCTCTGATCGCGGGTTCTATCCCTACCCGTGGTATGGTTTGTTTGCAGTCATGTCATTACGATTTTGTGAGTCATGATGGTGAGGTTATAAGCAATTTATCAATCTCAAACACAAAATGATCAATGAATTATCAAAGAGTCTGCCTTATTTAGCATTGAAAATGCTTATTATTTACCCAGAAAATGTTCAGTTTTGTAGTATTAGGCTGTCTCCCCAAACCCCGCCGTGTACCTATGGTGCTCACCTTCCCTGTTCCCTATGTATGTAATATTGTAAATTGCATCATGTGGAAGATCAAAGATTCCCAGTGGAAATAAGCCAAATAAAATGGCCTCGTTGGCTTATCTAGTTACTAACCCTCCAGGTTAATAATCCGAAAGAAATTATCTTTATATGCCACCGACGCTGTTCTGTGTATGTGCATGCCCAGCGATATGCTTAAGAACATAAAAAAGAGCACTGCAGCAAGCCTACTGGCCCATGCTGGTCAGGTCGAACTCACACCCAGTCATGTGTCTAACCTTTTTTTAAAACTACACAACATTTTAGTTTATGTACAGTACTCCAGGCTCCTTTTCTGTGGGGTTATATATACCCTTTATTTTTACTACAAAACCCTCATAATTATGCACTGCGGGTGTTCAGAAATTAAAAAAAAAAAATCCACACTAGAAATTAGTACGCCAGTTGTGTTTATTAGCCAAATGGTCATGACACAGGATTATTGAATTTTACATACATTTTAAGGATGCTTTCCTAAGTACCATTAAACTAGTCTAACTGCAACACAGCTTGCATGACTGAAAGAGGCGGCGCTGTTAGACTTATGGTCACGACGTAATAAGTTACATGATGAACAACATCAGCAGCAGCAGCATAGTACGAAGCTGCCAGCCCGTACTTTCTAGTTCTCTTCTCATTATATAGTCTTAATTATAATGGTCTTTTAATCTGAGACAATTCACAAATAAGCTTTGCTATACGTTAAACTTGGTAAAGGATGTGAATATTCTCTACTATGATTGTTTAAATTAGTTTAATTTAGTTATATGATGCATGAAGACTGGATATCGTTCAGCAGGTGTTATATTAGCGATGTTACCTATATATTTCGTTCTGGTCAATATCGGCAACACTAATTGCCTTAGAAGTACTAAATATCTTGATTAGAGAGTCTGAAATAAAATAACAGGAAATAGTGAAGAGTAACGCGGATCAGTGTTTGTCAAAGAGTAGCAGTAAATAAGGCAGATAAAACAGGAATAAGATTGTCCCAAGTATATTGGAAGAGTTACTCTTGTAACTGGATATATCTGACCTCTACCATGGCCGCCTACCTCCTACCTCATAAAAAAAATCGACCTTGACATACCATCTTTGATTCCAAAATCACCTTGTTAATACATAAAATATCTTCCCTTAGGTGCCTTAACGCCGCTGAAGGGGTCGTGATCCAAAGAACTGGAGCTACTATCCCTTTCCCTGGATCGAATATAATTGCCTCACTGTAAGACCCCTCCGTATTTAGCGCGCCTCAATAAATGTATATACAATGCCTAAGATGTATCATATAAAAATAATTCATTGCCTTGTGTGTGAAACCTAGAGATAATGTGTTGTAGTAGGGCATGACAATCATCCTGGGTCTGTTAGGTAAATACAGTTACAGCTAGTGTTGTAACCTTGTAAAATGTCATATAAATCAGGGTAGTCACACAATGTCGTGTATCTAATTTTGATCATAGTTTTTTTTTTTCCTTGAAACATTCGACATAATATGTTTTCTATTTAATTTATCGTAGGTTAATCATAAATTTCCCCCGTTGCCTCCTTATTGATTATGCGTAATATTAAACACTTGCAGACAATTTATATAATATCTACGTGTAAGACGAAATCGACCTAAGTAAATTTATTTGCGCGGACAAGCAAACAAAAAACCGGATTTGTATTTATATATCAAGAAAGATAAATCGTAACATTTTAATTTCTATAGTAGCAAGACCTGTGTTTAATATATAAGAAATAACTTGACTAGTTTATTTAGCAGGAATGAGGACTACTTAAATATTAGATATCTTGCTGCTTTCACTAATTCCAACAGGAAACTGCCAATGTGTATATAGACAGATTCACTACAAAAATATAGTTAAACGGGAAAGCATTGTAATTATCGTATATTTTTTCTCCCCGAGTATTTTGGAAGAGTTTGGCTAGGTGTGAGAATAACGCGGCTGTGTATAGGGAGATTATTGGAATGCTGGATGTAGCAGGGAGGGGGACGAGGTCTCCAGCCATCACCCTGAGTTGTCTCATTAACATTACTGGAGATCCTCGCCCGCTCCATCCCCCAACCAACACCACAATGCCCAATATCAAGATCTTTTCGGGTTCCTCGCACCCAGACTTGGCCCAGCGGGTGGTAGACCGCCTAGGTATTGATCTGGGCAAGGTGGTCACCAAGAAGTTTTCAAATTTGGAGACGTGGTAAGGCCTTGATCTAGCCATTTTTTTTCTTAACTCTATCATAGATACCCATATTTGTTTTTATATTAATATTATAACCGTAGAAGAAATTCCTATTATTTTGGTTCAACAGATTGCCGTCCGTATTTACCCGCCATTATTATTTGTTTATAATGCAATGTCATCTCTTTTTGAGTTTCAGGATAGTTCTCTGCATTAAAATTGTAATTTATATTAATGTTACAGGAGAGCAATACGCAGGAAAGCCGAGATCAGCTTAATAAGCTTAAAGCAAGTCAGGTGGTCGCTCACCTCAACATCATCTCACACGGAGTTAACTTCATAAATTATACTTCTATTTACCATACTGTCACTTCACTAATGTCTAAACTACACTATCTTTTGGAATAAAGTAGCTATGGATATCAGCGGCGTATGGAAGCAAGCTTATAGATGGCAGGATGTGGTTGTTAAGAGAGACTTGGGGTCCCTGACTGACGCTGTAGCTAATTAACTTTATTTAGGCACAGCTACACACAAATACACTTACACAAATTATCATACATAATAACCTATGTGTAAGTTGTCTGGAATAACCCCCTCCACCCCCCAGAAAAAAACTCAGGGTGACTTATTTCCATTGGGCAGGAGGGCTTTCCATGCGGGTTGAGCGCATTTTGTGAATATAATAATAATACAGTAATGCTGAAGGGCTTTTCATCCAACTAATTGGACCTTTCCACTTTCACTTCTTGGATCAAACCTGATTGTCTTTCATTCCCCTGACACTATGACTCCTGTGGCTTTAGTGGACCCCAGTGGAAATAAAGTCACTGACTTTTTTTTTGGGTTATCCTAGGTAATTTACACATATGCTGTTATGTGTGATAATTTATGTAACTATTTGTGTGTATCTGTTCCTGAATACCCCTCAAGGAAGGTTCCTTGATGTTGGTGAGGGGCTCTTGATTTAGGGAATTGGATCTATGCTCCAGTTCCCCGAATTAAGCCTGAATGCCTTCCACATCCCCCCCCATGTGCTGTATAATCCTCCGGGTTTAGTGCTTCCCCCTTGATTATAATAATAATGTTCCTGAATATACTTAATTCTATGATTGTAAACAGCCAGGCCCCGTGGCTTGGCTGGCAGAGCTCTCGCTTCACACACTGAGGGTCTGGGTTCAATTTCTGGTATGGGTGGAAACATTGGATGTGTTTCCTTCCACCTATTGTCCTATTCACCTATCAAGTAGATACTTGGGTGTTAGTCGACTGGTGTGGGTAGCATCATGGGGGACAAGATTGAGGACCCCATTGGAAATAAGACAGGCAGTCCCTCAGTGACACACTGCATTTCTTGGGTTATCCTGGGTAATTAACTCTGCCTCATGGCACTGTGGCAGTGCCTCTTAGCACAGTGACTGGCATGCTTGATTCACAACTAAGAAGACATGGAGTTGAGCACCCATATCAGGTGGGATGTATGGAGAAGTCTCTTTACCTTTGCTTGCCATATTACCTAGCCATAAATAGATATCTGAGAATAGTTGGCTTGTAGGTAACATGCTGTTACTGCTGGCTGCACGCAAACCAACGTACGAGCCACAGCCCGGCTGATCAGGAACCGACTTTAGGTGCTTGTCCAGTGCCAGCTTGAAGACTGCCAGGGGTCTGTTGGTAATTCCCCTTATGTATGCTGGGAGGCAGTTGAACAGTCTCGGGCCCCTGACACTTATTGTATGGTCTCTTAACGTGCCAGTGACACCCCTGCTTTTCATTGGGGGGAAGTTGCATCGTCTGCCAAGTCTTTTGTATACATCTTGTGTCTATATTGTATTTTCCTGGATTACTAATCCTCTTGGATCAGTAATGTAAATAGAGTCATCTTAGAGGAGAGTACTATGAGGAGGTGGAGTAATGAACATGGCATCATAAGAATGAGACAGTACTGTATGTATACTCAGATTAGGGAGAAGACTGTTTCAACTTGGCTATGGCTCTGGGATTGAGACAGTCTCTGCTTCCATATTGGAGTTCATAGTACTGTATGTAGACATACAAATGAACAAGAAAACTTATCTCCACAGGAACTGACGAAAGGCAGCATTGAGCTTTTTGCAGAAATCCCCAAAAATAGGTATACAGTACTTAATAAGGTGCTATACAATATTGCCAGTGACCTGCTTCAAAGAAATAAAATCTTTTCCAAGCAGTGCAACTGTTAAATATAATCTTCCCTTTCTGCTTGAACAAACTGGAGAACTATGATTGTGGGTTTCAAGAGGCATTCAACCTACAAGTGTCCTGTAGGGTGAGATCTTGCAAGTTCTGGCTGTTCAACAGTCATCAAGGTACTTTTCTTAATCTTGTTTAATATCAGCCAGGAGTGCAGACACCACTATGTAAAACCCCTATAAAGCATGTGCCCAAGACTTACTCAGCTTGCCTTTGATGTCACTGTATGTTGCTCCCAGTACTTTTTTCAGTTTTGATCCTTTCACTAGAATCCCACTACATATCTAGAAAGATATTAAGGTGTGCATATTACCCAGTATTAGCACAACATTAAGATCAGACCATTCTACATGCACCCATGTCTACTGTCAGGTTTACTGATGACATACCTAAGATTTTAATATACTTTTCACAGTATGCCATCACTGTCTTGACTGTATCTGGATGAGTTGGTGGGAAGTCAGTGGGTCAAGTACACATTTTGTAGATGGCGGCAAGACTTCGTCAGAGTGAGCTATTTTTTTTTTTTTTTATCATGTCCAGACCACTGATGGAGTTGCATCTGAGTTTTGAGTCCTAGTTAGTATACCTGAAATGCTCTGCATAATCAAAGTTTCTCCATTAATCTTGTTATCCATGCCACTTGTTTTTGTAACCTGTTTCTTGAAATTTTTTTTTTTTCAGTATATGGATTTCCATGCATTTTCAGAATCAGTTTATGGCCTAATATATTAGCCATTTTCATGCCTACTGCATTAATAAACCATTCTTGGGTTTGGTTGGTGAGCTTCTCTTAAGGACCCAGGTAACTATTATTACCTGTGGTCAGGCCAAAAATGTAACCCTAACAGCCAGAAATTGTCAGTGCAGTAATTATTTAATGTTGGTTTGATGGTTGTTGAACTGGAAAATAAAAACTTTTATTATGCCTGCCAAATTTTGGTTATAGGAGAAATCTGTAATCTCTTCATAGTTGATAACTAGCTAGGAATTTTGTGATAAAAGTAAGTAGGCTTTTGGTATGGCAAGAGTGGGTGCTGCTTGTGCCTTGCCCTGAGGAAGGACATCTAGTTGGTGGTAGTGATCTACCCTTTGATAAAGTCTGTATTGGTTCATGTACTTTACTATCACTAAAGTTTTGCATATTTTTATTAGTCAAATCTAGTTGGTGTGTTTATTAAAAAAAAATGCAGTTCAATTAAAGTTTGGCTTTAAGGTTTTACTATGGGGGTTATATAAACCTTGCTTCGCCATTACGATATTGCCACCTGTTAAGCTTTTATTTTGAACAGTTATTGCAGTGGAGATTTGGAGAGTTATTCTTAAATGTTACTTTTCATGCGTGTCCAGCATCCATATTTATGTACATAAGTGTGCTGTAATTATGTATATCTGGTACTTGTGGAAGTCTTTGAAGTCTCCTACCTGTTGCTTATCCTTTCAACTATTTTCTGTGGGGGTCTTTGCTACTTTCTGGCCATTTTCTCTTACAGTAGAGCATGAAAAATATTCAAATTATGAAACTAAATAAATCACCTATGTAATTCAGTGAAGATCTTGTGGGCTTGGTAGACTAATCATGCAAGGTGAGGTAAGAGAGTGAGTATTTGAGTACCTGGAGGTTATTCCGGGGATCAGCGCCCCCACGGCCTGGTCCATGAGTAACTATCAGTTACTGGTCTAGCCCTTGGTCCTTGCTTTTAGGTTTCTACTGAATGATGTAAAATAGCTGTCATTAGTTTCTGAACCCCAGTATGTTATCAATTCATTCCACTTCTTTACTGCTTATATATTGGCGCTGCTCTCTCATGTCCCTGCAGCTTATCTGAATGTGTAATTTCCTGCCATCCCTTTCATTCTTTTCCTGGCCTGTGAGTTTTTGGATTTGCTTGTTATGGGCACCAGGTGCCAGATCAACCAGGCTGTGATGGTTATGTGGGGCAGCAGGCCTCCACTAGCAACAGCTTGGTTGACCAGGAAAGCACCAAACAAGCCTGGCCCATGACTGGGATCTGATAGTGAAAATCTTCAAAGGTATATCAAAGGTCACTCATTCTGTGATTTAAGAACATAAGAAAGAAAGAACACTGCAACAGGCCTACTGGCCAATGTGAGGCACATCCAGTTCTCCCACTTGCTTAAGCCAGTGCCTTGACCTAGTCAGGTCAGTCATGTCACTTAAGGAAGGAGCACGGCATCCGACCTAGATATTCAGTTTGTGCATTTCCGGGAACAGAATGGTTTTTTCAAGGTCTTTTATTAACTTTTCTGTGTGCTTTTTCTTTTCCAGATGATATTAGTCAGTAATAACCATGGCTACCAGGAAAAGGTTGAAAAATGGCTTTTTAACCCCTTCAGGGTCCAAGGCCCAAATCTGAAGTGGTGCCCCAGTGTCCAAGAATTTTCAAAAAAAAAAAATTGTTATTTTTTCTTATGAAATGGTAGAGAATCTTTTTGTGAAGGTAATAAAACAAAAAGTACGAAATTTGATGGAAAATTGACGAAATTATGCTCTCGCGAATTTTGATGTGTCAGCGATATTTACGAATCGGCGATTTTGCTGACTTTGACTCCCATTTTAGGCCAATTACATTATTCCAGTCAACCAAATTCTTAGCTATTTCTCTAATATTACTTCTATTCTATCGATTGAGCACAAGAAATCGCCAAGTCAACTGTTTCAACTACAAATTAAAGTGATCGGAAATTGTTAATTTGGCCAATTTAACACAAAGTTCAAAATATTCCAATTTCAAAATAGGGTCCAGAATAAACATTGTAGGTATTCCTGGAACTAAACTAACATTTCCTCTGTTCATTAGTTATGTTTTGAGACTTTACAAATAAATTCCATTTTGATTTTTTATTCACATAATGAATTTTTATTCACACCAAAAAATAGAAGATTTACTGTTATGCAATACTGTAATAATTGTATAAATATCATCACCATATTTGTGAATGCATATTAGACCCACCAGCTGGCGTGTATTAGACGTGTGAGGTCGTTTGTTTACTCTTGAATATCGGCAAAAATTTAACATCTGCTACTTTGAGCTCAGTTTCAAGCCATTTCCAGTGCTAAAACCAATCAAAATCATCTCTATTTCTGTAATATGTCTTCCATTCTATCAAATGAGACCAAGAAATCGCAAATAGAACTATAAAAAACATACGAAAAAACACTGCAAAGTCGCTGTTTTAATCGAAAATCATGATTTCAGTTTTTTTCTCTCATTATACACAGCATGCTGCAGGATCTGTTTTATGTGGTGCACACATACCACATAGATGTATTCTCATATCTAGGCCCAAATGTACCACTCACAGTTTATCAGAGTGAGCTGAGCTCATGACGTAGATCTACGGTTTGGACCCTGAACGTAAAGCCGTAGATCTACGGGACGGACCCTCAAAGGGTTAATTTAAAGTTCTGATGTGTATATCAGATATCCTTATGAATAATAACAAATATATTTACCAGTTCATAATTCAGAGTTTTCATGGAATTGTGATGGACCTTGATTTTTAAAGAAATTACTTTTGAATTTACCATTTTTTTGTGCAATTATTAAATAGCATAAGCTAATTTATTATGTTTTACATTTTGCTGTCTATCCAATTTGAACAGAATAAAGCTGTTTTGGTCACATGATTAATCTTGTAATGCATTATGAAAATATATCCTTGCTCAAGAAATATACAATTGAAATTGTACCATTTATTCATTAGGCTACCTTTCTTATTGTACATATGATTGTAGTTAACTGCATAAGAAATCCTAAATCTTATATAAGTCTGTTTAAATCTTAAGTAGTCTTTAAGCATTAGGATTAGTTTGTGCAAAAACATTGTGTGCTAGTGGCTTTCTTTTGTGCCAAACAATGTTTTATTACATGCAGACTATATCTTGCATTAACTGTACTTTCAGTGTGGAAATCGGGGAGAGCGTGCGAGGTGAAGATGTCTACATTGTTCAGAGTGGCTGTGGAGAGATAAATGATAATTTGATGGAGATGCTCATCATGATCAATGCATGCAAAATTGCTTCTGCTGCTCGTGTTACTGCTGTCATTCCATGCTTTCCGTATGCTAGGCAGGATAAGAAGGATAAGGTTAGTTAATTTACTAATTTTGAGGATGGATTTCATAGACTGCTTTAATGCAACATTCTTTAATTTATCATTTTTTTTATTTTAGAATGTAACCATTAATGTTTGTAGAATGTAATTGTTGCAGTATTGATAGTTTGAATGAGACTTCATATGGTTTAGTTTACTGGGTGTAAATGTAGACCATCATTATTTATCTTGTTTTCATGTCATATTGGTTGTAAGTTTTAAGTTATAAATCTGTTTTAATAAATTCTTGTGAATAATTTACTTGGGTAATGCAGCTTCTCCTCACTTAACAACGGAGTTCTGTTCCTAAGACCACATTGGTAAATGAATTCGTCGCTAAATTGTAGTGGGTTTGTGTCGGCAATGTGTGGTGTGAATATAATGCAGAGAATTCGTAGTTTGGAAGTTAGGAGGGGTGCGGGATTACCAAAACTGATGTCCAGAGGGCTGAGGAAGGGTTGTTGAGGTGGTTCGGACATGTAGAGAGAATGGAGCGAAACAGAAAGACTTCAAGAGTGTATCAGTCTGTAGTGGAAGGAAGGCGGGGTAGGGGTGGCCTAGGAAGGGTTGGAGGGAGGGTGTAAAGGAGGTTTTGTGTGCGAGGGGCTTGGACTTCCAACGGGCATGCGTGAGCATGTTTGATAGGAGCGAATGGAGACAAATGGTTTTTAATACTTGACCTGCTGTTGGAGTGTGAGCAAAGTAACATTTATGAAGGGATTCAGGGAAACCGGCAGGCAGGACTTGAGTCCTGGAGATGGGAAGTACAGTGCCTGCACTCTGAAGGAGGGGTGTTAATGTTGCAGTTTAAAAACTGTAGTGTAAAGCACCCTTCTGGCAAGACAGTGATGGAGTGAATGATGGTGAAAGTTTTTCTTTTTCGGGCCACCCTGACTTGGTGGGAATCGGCCAGTGTGATAATAAAAAAATATAATAAAAATTGTGTCAACCATCTGTGATATTGTTTTAATGTCGCCTTTGCACCATTTATAACATTTTTAGTTAACTTTTAAATGTTTATACAGTAGTGTACTGTATACTGTAATAAATAGAATATTGGAAATCAGTTCTAATTTACGTTATTTAGGTATGCATACTGGCCAGAGAGCCCGTCGTAAGTCCGAGTCATCAGTCAACGAGTACGTCGCTAAGTGAGGAGAGGCTGTATATGCTCTTAAGTAAACACCCTAGAGTGTGCCTGGAGCATACCTGGAGCTGTTTCTAGAGCTCGTTGCTTCTACAGCCTGGTCTCGGACCAGACATTCTGATCTGCCAGGCTGTAGGAGCTTCAGTCCCTCATTGGCATCATAGTCATTTCAGAAGACTTTCTTTTGCAGGAAGTTCTTAGATATCCTCTTAAAACTGGGTCTGTTAAAATTATTCCCCTCTCCCTCCATTTTTTTTTTTTTTAAATCCTTGGGGTCCCTGTAATACCAGTAGTTCCCTTAAATATACAGTACTTTGTTTAGTGTACCTCTACATATTGTTGGAACTATTTTGCACATTCTTTTGTATTTCCCATCCATTTTTTTGTTTTTGTGTGCAGGGTCTGGCACTGGCTACAGTATTTTCCAGATTTAAATTATTATACAAGGTTTCTTGAAAGGAATGAAACGTCTTTCTTTCAATTGCCTATAATTATTGTATGAACGTAGGTTTTTATGCAAAAAAGTTTAAATGTTATTCGTTGTGGTTACTATCTCTTAAGTGTCTTGTACAGCAGAAGGCCCAAATGAAACCTTATTTCTTATCAATTGTCCTTCAACCCTTGTCCAGTCATGAAACACCTTAGACCTGTAGTGTAGACATTTCATATCAAGAATGTGGACATTTGACTTCAAGGATGCAGTTGTCATTTTATTTGCTGTGAGCCTCAGGGACATGATCCTTGTGGCTTGTGAAGGGTCTTCTTTCTTACTCATTTTATCTTAAGAGCTTCTGCAAGTAAATATAAGTAAACTGTTTTCTGAAGGCACACGAGATATGATTTTGGGTTTAAAAGTTGTAAATACTGTATTCAGTTGAAAAAGATCACAGCATTTCTAGCAGGAAACAATATCAACAAAGATATACTAGGATAGTATCACTGACAAAAATGTAAACAGAGCAATGACTTAACTCTTTCAGGGTTTCGGCTGTACTAGTACGGCTTACGCACCAGTGTCCACGACGTACTAGTACGCATAAATTCTAGCGCCTTCAAATCTAGTGAGAGAAAGCTGGTAGGCCTACATATGAAAGAATGGGTCTATGTGGTCAGTGTATAAAAAATCCTGCAGCACACAGTGCATAATGAGAAAAAAAAACTGACCATGTTTTTGGATTAAAACAGCGACTTTGCACTATATTTTTGTATGGCATTTATTGTTGTATTCTAGTTTTCCCAGTCTCATTGTATAGAATGGAAGACATTTTACAGAAATTGAGATGATTTTGACTGGTTTCACAATGAAAAGTACTTTGAAATTGAGCTCAAAGTAGCAGAAATGTTCAATTTTTACCAAAGTTCAAAAGTAAACAAATCATGCTAAGCGTCCAATACATGTCAACTGGTGAGTCTAATATTCTTTCACAAGTGCGCCGATATTATTTATACCATTTCTACACTAATGCAGTAGTCTGCATAACAGTAAATCTTATTTTTTTGTTGTTAGAATAAAAATCCAAAGTGGAAAGCAAAAGAAATGTAAGAGGGGCCTGGGGACATGACTAATGAACAGAGGAAATTTTGTTTTAGTGCCAGGAATGTCCTTCTTGTTTATTCTGGACCCTATTTGGAAATTGGCATCTTTTGAAATTTGGCAAAACTGCTAAATTCTGACCAATGTATTGGATAGTTGAAATTGGTAAATTGGTGGTTTCTTGTACTCATTCGATAGAAAAAATGTAGTTCTAGCGAAATAGTTATGATTTTTGTCGACTAGTACATTGGAATTGGCCGAAAATAGGGCTCAAAGTGGGCAAAATCACCGATGCGTAAACATTGTCAAAACCACTAACTTCACGAGAGCATAATTCCATAAGTTTTCCATCAAATTTCATACTTTTGGTGTCATTATGATCGGGAAAAGATTCTCCATCTTTTCATTTTTTTTTTTTTTTTTTTTTTTTTTTTTTTTAAATTTGGGGGACCCTGGGAACAAGTTTCTGAGAGGGCCTGTGGACCCTGAAAGGGTTAAATTGATAACTAAAAGTATTAAAAGTGTTGAATGATGGTGAAAATGTTTCTCTTTTGTCACCCTGCCTCGGTGGGAGATGGCCAGCATGTTAAAAAAAAAAATTTTTTTTTTGTCAAGTTAGATATTTTGAAGTGGTTATGGTTTACAACATCAGTTTTGCTCAATAGCTAAAATATTTGAGATTTATTCAGTCAGACCCTTTTGAAATATTTTTTAATGTTATGTTCCTCAGCATAACTAGGCAAATAAGATAGCTTGAGTCTGTGGTGAATTTTGTTGCCATGTGTTTATATTTTTCCAGTGATATAAAATACAGTGGAGCCCCAGATATAGTAGTCGTCAGATTTCGTAATATTCAGTAATCATAATGTTTTTTCATCAGAATATTGACTGAGTGATCGTCATTTAGTTCAGTAATAGTCATTCGTCCCGAACGCGTCCGAGCGGCCCGACAAACCATTTACAGTCAGTGTGCCATTGTTTAGCAGCCAGTGGGCACGATCCCACGCATTCATACGATACATTTCGTAATATTCTATTCGTTTTAGTACTTGCAGCTGCTAAATAAGCCACCACGGGCCAAAAGAGGATCCTAGTGCCAGCCCTTTGGTAAAGAAGGCGATAAACATGATAGAATTCAAGAAAGAACATACCAGCCAGGGTACTTCCCCACACATCAGACAAGGGTACCTCCCCTCACACTATTTAAGTGGGACTTGTGCATGAGTGAATAAAATTATCAAATCTTATTGCTCGGGGAGCATTGAAAATTGGGTTGGGCAAATACGATTCTGTTAGTGGGATGGTTTGTGAAGGACCTGCCTAATATGGGCCAGTAGGCCTGCTGCATTGTTCCTGCTTTCTTATGTTCTTCTGTACACCAGCTGAGGAAATTGCTTCAGAGGAGGAGGAAGAGAGAGGGAAGAAGGTACCTTGAAAGATTAAGACCATTTGTGCAGAATAGAGTGAGGTGCAAACATTTGTGGAGGAACATCACCCTAACCCTCTTCCCTCCTCCTATCTTCTATACACCAACAAGAGTCTTCATTAAACCTTTCAGGGTCAAGAGGCCCTGTCATGAACTTGTTCTCAGGGTCGAAAATTTTTCGGGGAAAAAATTTTTTTTTTTCTTATGAAATGATAGGTCTTTTCCCGATCATAATGACACCAAAAGTATGAAATTTGATGGAAAACTTATGGAATTATGCTCTCGCGAAGTTAGCGGTCTTGCCGATGTTTACGCATCGGTGATTCCACACACTTTGAACCCTATTTTTGGCCAATTCTTGTGTACTAGTTGACAAAAATCATATTTATTTCGCTAGAACTCCATTTTTTCTATCGAATGAGTACAAGAAACCACCCATTTACCAATTTCAACTATCAAATCAAGTGGTTAGAAATTGGCAATTTTGCCAATTTCACACAAATTTCAGAAGATGCCAATTTCCAAATAGGACCCAGAATAAACAAGAAAAACATTCCTGGCACTAAAATAACAAGTTCTCTGTTCGTTAGTCATGTTCCCAGGCCCCTCTTATATTTCTTTTGCTTTCCACTTCGAATTTTTATTCTTACAAAAAATAGAATTTTACTGTAGAAATGATATAAATAATATCAGCGCACTTGTGAAAGAATATTGAACTCACCAGTTGACGTGTATTGGACGCTTAGCATGATTTGTTTACTTTTGAACTTTGTAAAAATTGAACTATTTCTGCTACTTTGAGCTCATTTCAAGGTACTTTTCATTGTGAACAGTCAAAATCATCTCAATTTCTGTAACATGTCTTCCATTCTATAAAATGAGACCAGGAAAATTAGAATACAACCATAAAT